AAAATATTTAAGCGATCCGAAAGAAATGTTTTTATTTGCCCGTGTGCGAATTGGGTTATCTGCCGATCTTGTTTATGAAATTTGGGGCTGCCTTTCCAGCAGTCTGTTCGCCTCTCAAATCTTTCCCAGCTCCCATTTCCATATTTCTGCGTGCATGTTCTTTGTTAATCACTTGGCAAGCGCTTATTTGAATATTAAAAATTTCTTTAATCATCAAAGGCAGGAGCACAGTCTCATGAATATTCATATTTTCCCCCCTCCTCAGACTGGATTCTAGTTCATTACCCTGCAGTAAAAGCCAAACAGCCATCAATCGCCCTCATTACAGGCTCTGGCGTTTTGATTGGCTGCCTGCTGCCCAGAGCTTTTTTAATTTTTTAATTTTTTTTTATTTTTTCCTCTTCTCCTATGAGCTGTCTTGTACCTGCCAACAACCAAAAAAAAAAAAAAATCAACAATGCAAGAATAAATTTCTCTGGTTGAAAAACAACTTTGCAAACTTGTCAAACAGTCCTCATGGCTTGCTGCTGCTGAAGTGGTCACCAGCACTAACCCACGCCCCCACCCTCTTAAAAAAAAAAAAAAGGACCCGGGGAAAAAAGGGTCGTGGAGAGAAGAATTAAATAAATAAATAAAAAGGGAGAAACTTGAGCCTCAGAGATGAATATTTGTCAAGAGAGTTGACGTAAGTTTCATTTGCATAATGACTTTGTACTTCTGCATTAATAAAATTTGCATATGAAGCCATGTTAATTACTCCTGATCATGCTTTTTGCATTCATGCATAGTAATTTTCTCCGACTTGTGAGAATTAATGTCTTGGCATGGGGGGAGGGGGCGCGGGGATTGTCAGGTTTCCTTGCCAGTGGCCCTCACTCACAAGCGCTCGCTCCCTGTCTGTCTCCCTCCTTGATCTATGACTCATTTTTGCACTATCAGTAGGAGTTCTTGGCTTAAAAAATGTATCAATTGAAAAGCACCAGTAGGGAGAAAAATCTACATCTTCAGTACAGTATACTCCAGAGCTCCTCTCGCCAGCTCGGAACCCGTAACCCTCCCTTGCGGGAGAGGCGCCCAGGACCCAGCTCTGGGAAAGGTGCACGTTCCCCTCACCGCCAGGCTGGGTTTTTTCCAGGCGCAGTTTTTTGTGTCTACACTCCGGTGGGTGTGGGCGTGCCCTCGGGGTAGTGCGCATGTGTGAGGATGAAGCAGGAACATCTGCGGGGCCCCTCTAGAAGGGAGACAGGTTCCAGACACCCTCAGCATGGAGGCAGTAAAAACTGCCTTGTACCCTGATTTGGGGCTTAAGAAACATTTTAGGGATCCTATTTTTGGACTCTTTTGTGCCTCTCTGTACAGGTGGCCTAGAGCGATGTTCTAACCCCTGCGAGCCTCAGTTTCGTCACTGGTGGCGGGGGAGGGTCATAGCACCTACTCCTGGAAAGGCTCCTGGCCTTAAATGATAGGATCTCCGTGCTCATTGTTCCTTTACCCCACATGGAAGCCGGCTTCCGCGGTAAGGAGTCGGGCTGGCCAGGATCTTATGTTTAAGCCGCCTGGATCCTGTGTAAAGCTGAGGTGGCGTCTTGGTGTCCCTCTGCCGCATACCTTGGGTGCTGTTCCAGTTCCAGAGGGGACCCAGCTAGACCGCAGAAGAAACCCTTTAAAAAGAGTGTCTTGCAGGGCTTTGTCGGGTGCCTTCTGCAGCCCACAGCACCCGACGGACATTCCGTGCCAGGCTGTGGGGGGGCATGAATGGTTCCAGAGTGGAAAATAAATGGACAGTAGTGGCCATTCAGTGAGTGTTCACTGGAAGCCAGGCTCTGGCCAGGCTTGTCCTGACCTTCCTTGAAGGGCGGGGCTCTGAGCAAGTGACTCACCCTGGTCACATGGCCAAGAAATGGCCGAGGGGATTGGGCCCAGGCCTCTCCTCCAGGCCTGCGTCTGAGCTCCGACTTCCTCTGTGTGTGTCAGTCTGTTGTCACCAGGCCTCGAGGGCTCTGTCGAGTGTGTTCTGGATTTCCTGCCTGTGCTTGAGTGCAGGCCTCCTTCCTGGAGGGTGGGCAAGGGCTGGGGAGGTGGACTGGGATGGCTGCTGAGGCCAGACAGTCCTCACCTTGGACTTTGCTCTTTTAATCACTTTAAGGTGGACAGTTAGTGGTTTTGGGTGTTTTGTTTTTTTTTAAGATTTTATTTATTTGAGAGAGAGAGAGAGTGTGAGCGCACAAGCAGGAGGGAGCATCAGAGGGAGAGGGAGAAGCAGGCTTCTTGCTGTGCAGGGAGTCCGATTCGGGGGCTCAATCCCAGGACACTGGAATCATGACCTGAGCCAAAGGCAGATGCTTAGCGACTGAGCCACCCAGGTGCCCATGTTTTGGGTGTCTTCACAATATTGTGCAATCATCACCACCACTGTCTAATTCCAGAACATTCTCATGGCCCCAGGAAGAAACCGTGTCCCCATTAGCCTTCACTCCCGTACCCCCGGCCTCTGAAACCACTTGTCTACCTTCTCCTGTCTCTATGGACTTGCCAACGCTGGACATTTCCTGTGGTCAAACAGTGGGTGACTTCTAGCACTGCCTTCTGCGTTTACTCTAGCTTCAGGAGAGGCTTTTCTGGAGTTCACCCTTGAGTTAAGCTTCTGGGGCTGGGGACAGGGATTCCCCCAGGGCAGGGGTCTTCTGAGAACAACTGGAGTGTTCTCTGTGGGCAGCTTGGATTAGAAGACACTCACTCTTGTTGTTCCCTCCCCTGTCTCCATTGAGCTAGCTCTTGGAACAGGTGGTCTTCAGTGAGGTTGGAATTCTTAATGAGGCGTATGGAAGCCCCTCCAGGGGGCAGCTTGGCCCTGCATCCCTACGTAAGTGGGGACATGACTTTGCCTTTAAAGACTCTGGTCTAAGCCTGACCTTTCTAGAAGGAGAGAGATATGGCTGGACCTGCCCTTAGGTCCTTTCTCCCAACCTTGGTGACCTAGGTTCTGCTCCCTTTCTACTTGGGCAGTCCTGGGCGCTCCTGTCTCTCTTACTCAGCCATGGTAAATGGTGGTGTCTGTGTCATGGTTTCACCCAGAACCTGGGGGCCTGGATTTGCTCTTTTCAGTCTCCCATGGCCCGAGCGAGCCCAAGGACCCTCTGGCTTCCCTCCACCCCACATGGCCCTTTTCCTCAGCATCCCGAGGCACCCTGGTCCCTCCACCCTAGCTGCAGGCCGAGGGAGAGGCATGGCATATCCAGCCTTTGGAGACTCAACTGGGTTCAAGTCCCAGATCTCTGTGAGCCTCAGTAGCCTCTGTGGGATGGGGGCTGGTTTTCTCAGCTGAGTGAGGCATTGGCCTGTTGTGGTGCTATGCTAGGTGCTTGGCACAGAGCCGTGTTGGGAGCCTTCTGCGGTGTGAAGGCGGGGGAGGCAGACAGGATGGCGTGTGCAGTGTCCGGTGCTGGGGCAGGGGCTTAGGCGAGGACTGGCCAGGGCAGGCTTCCGGGAGGAGGTGGGGGAACCTGGCTTCAGGTGCCGACTTTACGTGGAGGCCAGCACTGTGTCTGTGGCTGGAGTGGCATGAGGTCATTGGCCATGCCCTCCCTTCTGGGGCTGTCATGGGCTCGGCCATGCCCCGGGCCCTGAGCCTCGCCTCGTACGAGGTCTTTAGTCGTGTTGAGGAGTCCACGTGGCTTTGGCTTCTCGGCAGGACGTTTGCAGTCTTCTCAAAGGCCCTGGATTGCACACGGTTTGTAGAGGCAGTGCTGGAGTGGACGAGCCCTGGTTCTGGAGCCAGGTGGCCCAGATTTGGTGGGGCAGCGGGCCTGTCATCAGTTTGCTGGTCTGTGCAGTGGGTCTCCCAGGCCCTGTGCCCTGGGCGTGTTGGAAGGCTCACTCAGGAGGGCGTCTGACAGGATCCTGGCTGGAAGTGGGCTCGTGGTGCCCTGTGGCTCTCCTGGGTGGGGGAATCCCATGTGGGGCCCCGAGGTGGGCAGACCCCCTCTCTGCAGGCCCGTGTGGGATGGTGAGCGGCGTCGGGTGGCCTCCTTGGCAGAGCCGGCCGGGGGCCCAGCTGCCCTCATCTTGTTGGTGTTTTCTTTTTGTCTCTCTGATGCTTCCCCGCTCAATTATTTACCCAGGGAATTTGGACTTCTTCACTTGTGGTTTTGGCAAGGGCTTCACACAGATTTTTGCCCTGGTGGTCTCTTAGCCATTTAAGATAAACGGCCAAATCAAACGCAGGCCTTGCCGGGGAGTCAGGGCGAGCCATGGGGCTGGGCAGAGGCAAGAGAGCTCCAGGCCCTGCGTCCTGGCTGTCAGATGGGGGAGGCGCCCCCAGCAGGCCCGAGGCGTGAGGACGGGTGCTGGGCAGTGCCAGGATTTTCTTGGGGAGGGGGGGCGTTCAGAGCCTTCCGAATGGCCTTGGGGCTTGTATGCTGTGTGCTTGAAGCTCAGGCTGCTGAGGATGACTGTGGGCTGGAGAGAGACACCAGCTGGCCATCCTCCAGGCCTGCAGGTTAACCAGTGCCCAGGTGCTCAGAGGTAGACTGAGGTGTCCACGGCCTGTACCAGCAGCCTGTCCTGATAGAGCAGACAGTGGTGGCTTGGAGCTTCCCAGCTCCTCCAGAGGGGGGTGGCCCAGGTTTTTGGGAATGAATCCCCAAAGGGAGCCAGCTCCGGAACCCTCCGGAAACCTCCACGTGGTGGGTGGGGGGGCTTCCCAGGTACAAGGGCTCTGACAACCTCTTTTGGGCCCCCCCAGGGATGGGAGTCTGGTCCCAAGACAGCCCATCCTGGCAGCTGTGGAAGGAGGAGCCCACGAGGCCCCCCACCCACTTCCCTGGCCTCTTGCACCCTGCCTGTGCCTGGTCACCTTCCTGCAGGGCCAGGCACCCTGGGGCCTCCCTTTCTGGAAGGGTGGCCTGCAGCCCTCTGCCCCGGGCCCCTGTCCCACACCCCGGGTCCCTTGTATGGTCCAGGGCCCGACTGACCAGTCTTTTTTATTGTTTTTTCTCCAGGGCCGTGCAGGCCTGCCCAGCTGCCAGCGACGGCCCCCATAGCTGCCTCCTCCCACCCTCACTCATCCGTGATCACTCCACCTCTGCGCACCCTGGGCGCTCTGCCGCCCTGCTTCCCCCTGCCGTGCTGCAGCGCGCGCCCGGTCTCGGGTGACGGGACTCAGGGTGAGGGTCAGACGGAGGCTCCCTTTGGATGCCAGTGTCAGTTGTCAGGTAACAGACGGCCGCGGTGGGGAGGGCGGGCTCCCAGGGATGGCGGGGTGTGCCCTGGGCCAGGCTGGCGGCTGCCTCTCCCAGGTGGGCCGGGCAAGGTGGGGCCCCAGGGAGGATGTGCAGTCCCACCCCTAAAGGCATTTTGGGGGGCGCAGGGGAAGTGGGGAAGCACGTCATTGTGCCCCTGTCCCCATTGGTCAGGAGGTCCCCCAACACGTCTGCCCGTTCAGAGTGTCTCACTCCCAGAATGCATTCCTGCAGCTTCCAAAGTTCATGTCTTTGGGCTGTTTGGCTAAAGCTTGATTGGATAACACTTAACATCTGAAGTTTTCTCCTGCCCTCACCACTGCCGTCTCCTCCCCACCCCAGTCACTGCCCCCCACCCTGCAGACAGCACTGGGGGGAGACTCCCCGGCCGCCTGTGCACATAGCCGGAGCCGTCCAAAATGCCAAGTTTCTCTTTGCCAGAATGTGTTGCCTATTAACTTTGAAACAAAAAGAGTCGCTCTGAAGGAGACTTTCAGCTGTGGCCATGGGAGGGGGTGAAGCCTTGCGGGGTGCCTGTGGGCTGGGGCCATGCATGTCCCCACTGTGTGCCCCCTGGCAGATCTGTGTGGCTGGCCTTCGTACAGGCGGACGCACGGGCAGCCACCGCACAACGCCCCCCACCTCTCTCTCCAGAAACAACCCAACTCCTGCTGGGGCCTGGGGTCCCTGGAGTTTGTGGGCACAGGCCTCCCATTCCAGCCTCTCCCCCTGAGGGCCTGGTGCCGGCATGCTGACACAGACACAGGCGGGGATGAGCGCCCCAGGTCTGGTTTCCGGGCGCGGTCAGGAAAAGAGGTGGGGGGCTGTGCAGTCCTGGGGCCCATTCAGTTTGTCCCAGCTTTGTCACCAGGCCTGTTGCAGGCTTTCTTTTGATTCGGGTAGTGAAGGGAAAACCATTTTTCTGGGACAGGTTTTGCTTTAATTGAAGCTGTCCCGACGGACGGTCCCTGGTAGAGACCGTCAGCTCTGCGGGGGCCAGAGCCTCGCAGGCCTTCCTGCTGGTCAGGTGGACTGCAGCCTTCAGCAGCTCCCGCTGTGGTGTATGGTGCATCATAGTCCTGGGCTCATGCCTTGAATGCACAAAGCAAAGACTGAAACTGTCCAGGAGGGAGTCGGCCCCGCCAGCAAAGCGGCTGGCTCCCTGCCCCAGGCCGCCCGAGTGTCTGGAGTGACCGGAGCTCCCATCCCAGCTCTATGGGGCTGCGCTGTGATGTCTGCTTGCTGAGCGAGGGGTGCCTACTTCGTCGGGGTGCTTTGCCCTGCTCTCAGAGCTTCCTGTAATGAGTTCTGCAGCCTCCTGCAGCCGCCCGGGGGGTCGTGCTCTCAACAATCAGCCTGAGTGTTTCTGACTAGACTCAGGCAAGTTCTGTGGTACAGAAACACGATCCCCCTGACGGAGGTGCGCCCGGGGCTTCACTTCACCCTCTGTTGGCTCTGGTAGCCGCACGTCTGCCCTCAGCCACAGCGCCACCCCCTTCCTTCAAGGGACCACATGTGGAGGGCCTATCCCGTGTGCAGGATTGCACGGGGCTTTCAGTGTGCATTCTTGAATTTAATTCCCGTAGTGACCTCAGGAGGTAGGTTCTCTTCTCCCCACTTTGCAGATGAGAAAGTGAGGCTTGGAGATGGGGAGTTCTCATAGCTCACATTCAGTCATTCTTTCACGACCTTGGCGTTGTGCAAACCAAGGTGGAGTCAGGCACAGCGGGTCTGGCCCTCCCGCAGCTTGCAGGGGTAGAGACGGGGAGAGCGGGAATGGGGACCCGCGGAGACCATTCTTGGAAGGGGATGGAAGGGCAGAGGTGGGTTTGACCCTGGCTGGTCATCCGAAACCTGCTTCGCCTCTCCCATTGGCTCATCTGGTTTAGAGGCCCTCTAAGGTTTTAGAACTTGATGCCATGAGGGCATAGAATCTGTGAGCAGCCCCCAGGTGCCTCCCTAGTGCCCAGGGAGGGCATCAAGGCAGGGTGGGGTCTGTTCTTGGGGTCTCTGAGACCACCCTTCCCAACCTTCCTTGGAGACTGTTCTTGGGCCTGTGACGCCAGGCCGTGATTTCTGGCGCTGTCCTCTTTCACTGTTGGATCCCAGTTAATTTGCCTGCCCCGTACTTTCCGATCAGTTTCCGTACCTGAAGATACCCTGTTCTGGAGGTTTTTGTCCCTTTGTGGCTTCTGTCCCTGGCACTGGGCTGTTTGCTGAAGTGTTTTTAGTGCCTGTTTAATTAGTAGTTGGAATGGAGGCATTGAATTCGCAGTAACCCGTTAGGAAGAAGCAGTCCTCTGTAAAGACGGAGAGGGGCCACCATCCTTACTTTGTTTTGTCTCTTTTCAGATCAGGATGCACTGAACCTATCTCTTCAAATTAATACGGAAAACCCCGGAGTAACCGTGTTTCACACAGGTTAATTGCATGCCCGTGAAGGCATTCACAGTTATTTATAGAAGGATGTGATTTTATGGGCGAGCAAGCCACACAGGTTTGTGTGTGTGTTTGTGTCCCGCTCTGGCTGGCAGCGTCCCCAACAGCCCTGCCTCCCGGGCCCTCCACCACTGACCTCCTGATGGTCATGGTGGGGAGGAGGGACTGGGGCTCTTCTTTGCTTTTTGACCCTGCTGAGATAGTGGGAGGGCTTTGAGTCTGGGCGTTCCTGGAAACTGAAGTTTCTTCCCTGAGAAATTTCATGTAGGGACCCCTCCAGGGCACCAGTGGAGTGGAGAAGCTTGGGCTGTGGTCCTGGCCCTCACTCCACCTGGCTGGTGACCTTGAAGGAGCCATTGTCCCTCGGACGTGTGTATCATGTGATACATACGTGGTGTTTAAAAATGAGGCTTCACATTTGACTTCTAGAACAGATGATGTTGATGTGTTTCAGTTACCGGCTGCTGTGGATGACTGGGCACGTGACTTGGCTCAGGTCCCCAGAGTAGGGGTGGTGTGTTCGGAGGCTGGTTCGGAAACATCTGGGTCTTGGAAAGCTCCTCTGAACCGTTTCCCCTTCCAGGGTTTCCATGACTGTCAACATCCCCTGCCCGAGTGAAGGGTGCTGTTCTGAATGGTTTTGTGACCTTGGGCAAGCTGTTTTCCTCCCTATTCCTCAGTTTTCCCACCTATAAACTGGGAGCGGTGATAGTTCATGCCTTGAAAGCTTGTTTTGAGGATCGAATGAGGTTATACATCGCCAGGTTCTGTGACCCGAGCCTCATGCTGAGTGAGCCCTGTAGAAGTTCTGACTCCTTGTGCGGAAGACACGGTTGCGTGTCTGAAATTTTACATCAGGCTGGATCTCCAGGTTCCATTCTTAAAGGCATTCAGCCTCTTGGCTGGCTCAGATCATGTGCCGGCATTGTGAGGTGGAAAAGGAACCTAGAAACTTCATTGCATATTTAAAAGCCACAAATGGTCATCAGCTCCTGTGATTAATACATGTGCTCGGTGAAGTTCAAGGTCTCACGCAAGAACACACAGGATCCCAGCTCGGGGAAGTGGAAGTGTTTGGATTTAATAGAAGGAGTCAGTTGCAGTCATTAGTAGATGCTGAAATCACAGGGCAATCTTGTAAAGTTAAATTCAATTTACTTTTCTACTGAAATTGCTTGCTGTGTTATTTAACTAGTCTGGGGTTTCTTGGCATGGGTTAAAGGGACAATAAAGATAAAAGAATACCTGTGAGTAAATAGTAGGGTGTAACAGTAGAATCTATCGTGTTCTCCTCCTTCAATTATATCCCAGTGTTCGTTTGTGTTGGTTTTTATAACCGGAGCCATCCAGTGGGACACTGTGGATTAGACCACCCCAGCTGTAGAACCTTGATGCAATTAATACAGTCTGTCTGGAAAGTGGCCTTATTTCTGGAAGTTTTATGTTAATGATATGGTCTGTGCTTTGCACATTTCATACCAGAACAAGAAGCATGCTGTAGTTTCATTCTGAACTGGGTTTGATTAACACTGGAGGATCAGCGGGAAGCCAAAGGGTGATGCTGCCCGAGAGGCAGGGGCTCCCCAGTAGGGCCTGAGAGCCTCCGTGGAGACTCTGGAGGGAGGAGTGAGTATGGGCAGCGGGAAGAAGCGAACTGAGTGTGGATGAACGTGTGTGGACAGAAGCCCTTGGTCTGGGGAAGGCTCAAGACGTGCTCCCGTGATTCCCTCGGCCAAGTCATGTTTTCTGTGAGTCTTTCGGGGCTGACCAAGTTCCAGTGTCAGTGGGGGTTGGCTCACTGGAGCAAAAGTGCTCTCAGGAGAGTCATTAAAAATTTAAAGAGTCATCTGTACGCCTCGCGATGTCTACGTTGCCAAGGGGGCTGGTGGTCCGGCATTTACCACCCATGGGTGATTCTCGCATGCTGTTCAGTGGATGCTGCTCAGCGTCTGCCGGCTTTGGGGTATCACACCGCTGCAGAGGCCGCTCTGGACTGCCTGTCTTTAGAACCCAGGTGCCTCCTTTCGTGATTGAGGGAGGTACCGGGAGAGGCCACGGAGCACGGCCAGGGCCCCGGGACAGAGGAAGCGACTCTCCAGGCTGCTGGAGGTGGCAGAGGGCAGCAGGGCTTGGGGAGGACTCCAGGAAAGCCGACGGTCCAGGAGTCCCATCTGCTCCAGCACTCATGGGGCTGGGCGCCGCGTTTCCAGGGGGCCAGAAGGAGGGCAGTGCTGCCTGCTGGGGGGCGGGGAGGATGCAGGGGCACCTACCAGTGTGACTGTCCTCGGATAAAAGGGCTCCCAGCATGTCCCGGAGAGGAGACCACTGCAACCATGCCAGATTCTGTTTCACTCCGAGCCGGCCCTTCAGACGTTCTGAAGGCAGAGCTAAATCAAAGAATTCTGTTCAAATCCGTACAAGATGTTGCTGTTTTTCTGCTCTGACAGGAGAGGCATTTGGAAGTGCAGTTTCTTTCTTTCTTTCTTTCTTTTCTTCCTTCCTTCCTTTTTTTTTTTTTATAGCTGTCTTAAAAA